AAAAAAAAAATTTGACCTCTGGACTTGTCTTCATGGTGAAAACGGCTACCGAATGCTATTTTTGTGTGAAAATTTTCGATTTTATAATTTACATTTTTTACTTTAAAGTGCTAAAACATTTTAAAAAATGTATGGATCGATACAATTTTTTCATGAGAAGTAGTATTTATATACATCTTTCATTGGATATACTGTTTTTTTAAATCGGACCATTTCCCTATATACGAAGGGGGTTCAAATCTAAAAAATGCATATAGAAACTAAAACTTTTTCAACTTAACTTTTGAAAGTGTTCCGGAAGGTCTGACACTTTTATATATATCTTAAATTGAAGCTTATGTAATATACTTTAATTTGAAAAAAAAAAATTTGACCTCTAGACTTGTCTTCGTGGTGAAAGTTGATGTCAACTTAGGGGCTTGTTTAATAGTTGAGGATCTTGGTCATTACCAAGAATCGGAAGCTACCCGACGTCTGCCCAAATATCGTCCCTATCTCCTTAAATGAGTTTTAATTGCCTGAAGGAGACACAGGCAATCGTGTACCTTAGTTACAGAGGATAGATTATTAAATAAAATTAGACTATTGTTTTATGTCAACGACAAAGTAAAGTTATATTTTAGATGTTCAGTAAATATAAGTTATATGTAATGTACAATACGTCTGACCTGAATCCTAGTACANTTTTAATTTTAATTTTATAAAATCTTGTAATGATAGTAATTTATTTAATATCAATATATATTTACAAAATTTGTAAATTAATTAGAAATTTGAATAAATCTCAAAAATTGATGCAATTCATCTAATTTTATGATACAAAAAGTATTTCCAAAACTAATTTAACTAATGGAAAATATGTATTTAGGTATGAGCAGAACTTGAAAAAGTATTTACAGTAGGGGAAGAATACTAAATTATTGAAAATTGCAATTAAAAATGATTTTTAGAGGGTATGTCTCGTTATTTAATAGCTGCACTTTATATGTTTATAAAGCATTTTATGTAAAAAAATATTCAATTTTCTCAATTAGCATATTACTTCTTGAACAAGCATTCTTATAGCGTTAGAGTTTTCATCTGTTCCACATAGTAACTCAGATAAAAGCCTGTAAGTTTTGTCTATATCACGTTCCTCAAGAATTACAAGTCCATCTTTATAAAATAGGCTTGGATGTGTCAATCTTTTAAACGTTCCCAGCTTAATGATTTCTTGATAATTATAAGGATTCACAAATTTTAATTTTAATTTGTTGCATTTTTCCTCCCTCAATTGCCAATCCATGGGATTAAAGTAGTGTTTATTATGAAGAACTTTTTCTTTAAATTTACTGTCATATACCAGTGTTTCTAAATATTTAATTGGATATACTACTTTTCCAGGTTGTACGTCACAATTGAAAAACTATAAACAATTATTTTTATTTAAATATGCCACAACAATTTTTAACACATTAATTAATTTCCTAACAACATGGTCACAAAAAAAAATGCTTAAAATAAAAAAAAAATTAGAGAAAATATTAATTAAAAATGAAAACGACCAACTTCAAAACATAGTTAATAAAAAATTATTTATAAATATTTTAACAATTATAAACATTTATAAATAAAAATAATTACATTATATTACAAAAATTATTGTTTTATGTAAATATTATAACTGTTATTATTATTAATTTATTAGAAAAGTATAAATCAGTACAATTAAAGTAAATTCTTTTCAAGACAGAAGGTAAGAAACCATATTTATAAGCATGAAATTAAATATTACTTATGGATAGATTTTAACTATGCCATAAAATAGATATTTCAAGGCCATTATACTCAATAAAGAAATTATATTGCAACAATTCTATAAAGAATGAAGTATCAATCTTCATAACAAATATGCGTTATAAAGGATAATCAGAATTTCAAACTTTTCCTGTGAAATTATTAAAAACATAAAATAGTGGTGCAAATAAAGAATTTTTATCATAACTTAATACTTTCAATTATGTTAAACTCGTATTTAAAAAAAAATGTCTGTGGGGGTATATTAGTGGTTTACTTTGGATAATAAAATAGAAACACTTGTTTTAGATTAAAATTTTTTTTTATAAATATTACAATTGAAAAAATTATTTTATATAATATATCATTTTTGGAAATACAGCTCTTTGAGTTTTAACAAAAATGAAGTTTTTTTTCTGATTTTCGTATCATATTATAAGTTTAATTGGAATATGGTAAGGTGATACCCATTATTTGTGATATCTCATCTTTTAGCTACAGCTCTTTGAATTGGAAAGAAAATTGAATTTTGTAAAATTATTATAGAGCGATATTGTTTATTGCTATAATAAATTGTAATATGTGATAAAAATTAAGATAAAACAAACGTATTTTAATGGACATAATCCACTTAATTATGTCCGTTGAATAGTTATGAGTAGTGAGTGGATTTATAAATTTTTAGATATTTTTATTAACTAAACAGCTCAACAGGAGTAAAAATTTTCGACAATTTTTAAATTACTGAGTAATATAGGTTGACAACGTGATATGTGGCTGAGGTAAATACAGTACCGTGTCAATATAACTGAATAATTTGCACTTAAAAACATATTTTGACACATATTTTATTAGTTTTTAAAGGAAAATTTTGCAGAATGTTAGGTGTTTTAAGCGTTTTTTTTTAATAAATCATGTTTTACATTGCAAAACCCTGTGGTTCAACATTTTGATATATTTTTTTTTTTTGAGAAATACATACTTTTTGTTATGACGGCAGAGCTACATCTAGGGAGACACAGGGTTCAAGTGCCCCGGGTGGCAGATTTAAGGGTGACACTGGAGAAAACATTATCCAGCTATCTAGCAATATAAATTATAGAGTTGAAGGCTTTTTATTTGCTTATTCAAATCGTTTTTGATTAGCAAAAAATAAGTCATTGGAAGCAGCAAAATTGAGTACCCCTGGTGGCACAATTTCTACATGCAGCTTTTAGTGACGCATCTTTTTTTTTTTGGAAATAATTATCTCTATTATTTCTTGAAATATTCAAATTGTTTATTAAAAAAGCCATTTCAATAGTTGACTATAAAAATATTTCTTTCTTTCTTCTTTTTAAGAGGAAGAAATGAACCCAAATTAAATCAACTAAGAAAAATCGAGTTATATGGTTTTGCCAATGATACAACGATATGCATCATATTTTAAAGTTATTAAAAAACTAAAAATCAGTTTATTATTTATGAGATATTATAAATTATTTTTTGTTATAAAAATACTTTTTATTTGTAACAATTATTTACATTTCCAATAATTATCGAGAAAATGTCTTTAACTTGAAACACTTAAAGTGACGCTATCAACCATTGGATTTTGGCCAATTTATGTGTATACATTTTGTGACATCATAATTTTTCAAATTATTTTTATTTTTATTACCATTGTTGCAATAATTCTTTGTTGTTATTTACAAGTTTTAAGATAATCAGTTTGTTTAACTTTATTACAGTCTAGGTACCGAGTGTTTTTTTAGTCAAAAACAATTTTTTTTTGTTCCAACAGTACAAAAAAAGTATTAATACAATAAAACTTCTGAAAAAAATTTAAATGAAGCATCATATCAATTGGTCAGTCCACTTTTTTAAAATCTATTTCCTTTGACCCTTAAATAAAGATTTCGTTTTTTAAATTTTCAGTTTTCTCGTAGCAATTCAAGGGGTAGATAGAATTAAAATTTGATAAATATGTCCATAATGCTACATGATGATTCAGATGTGTTTTCAAAAGCCTAGGTCAATCAGAAGATTAACATACTATTGGAAATATAACGGGTAGTAGTTTTGTGAAATCAAACAGTGTTATCTGTTTTAACTTCTTTTTATTTATTAAAGCTTAGGACAATAGTGTTGTAAAAAATATAAGAATAAAAAAAACAATTTTAATTTAAATTTCTAAAATATTTTGAAATGTATAAAATTTTTATGTTTTCTATTTGACGCTGTAAAACGTTTGTCTATACTCATTGCAGAAGGATAGAAGTAACACATTCTTCATGGTAGTGTTAGTCTTAACAGTGGTTCAAATAAGTTTTTAAAAAAGAATGAAACAAAAATATTAAGTGAATTAAAAATTATAGGATTTGTAAGAACATTCGTCATACAAGTGTCTCACACCTGCATATAACATGCTCTTAAATATGCAGTGTATATTTACACAAAAGTTTTATAAAAAATATACTTACGTTTGAAATGGGCGAAAGTAGTCTTGAACTTTTCTTTAACATAAATTATATTTTATTAAATAAACTAGAATAGTACAAAAAATTATGTAAATGTAATGAGATTGTAATAGAAGCTGAATTGCTGCTATACAATTGGAGTGCTGTTAGTAAGTTTTCTTGTCGTTAAAAACAGTTTCAAAGTATTTAATTTATTGTGGTAAATATTAGATGCGAGCACTTAAAACACGATACTCGTAAATTTATTAATGTGTACGAATTATAAACATACTTTATAAATTATATAATACGTATTTTTAGTTATTCAATTTGTCTTTAAGTATAATACTAAATTTATATTTACGGAAAATTTGACTAGTCCATTAGAAAATCTATTTGCTTATTACATTTTGATTAAAAAATGTAGTCATGATATATAAATGAAACAGAAATAGCTGACAACTCTTTTAAATAATTTTTTAGTAATTATATGAATAGAATTCTTTATGGTATTTTTTAATTTTATATATTTATTGAATTTTATATGGCAACATACATATGTAACTATCTAATAACATGAAACAAGATCTAATTAGGAAAATAACTGGTCAAAATCAATTTTTGAAAATGTACTTCAGAAGTTATTAACATTTTAAAATATAGATTGAAGGAAGAACGCGGCAGAGTAATGCGTAATAATAAAATAACATAACCCACACTTTATCTCCACTCAATATTTTAAAATAGTTACAATTTTGAAATAATAGGTCAAAAAATGTCATTGGCCTATCTTTTTCTTAATTTGATTATTTCATATTATATAAACTAGTCAAATATACAGATTGTTTTGAAAGTAAAGAAACAGGTAAATTGTTACAAACAATGAGAACAATAAATATCCGTTTCCTTAGATCTGTTTTATACTATACATTGCAATTTACCTTAGTTGTATCATTTTTGCTATCGCTTGCGACCACATAATATAGTATAATGTATAATAGAAAATAAAACATTACAAAAAATTTATGTGACACCATTGTTAAGTTTTTAATAATTTTAATTAAAATGTTTTTTCTTAACTACTCAGAAATTGTACGTGTAATGACGTTTGTATTAAATAAAAAAATTATTAGTATTGGATAATGCTAATAGAATAATGTTATATAAAATGTTTATATACACATGAAAATAATAACAAAACGACAGAAAAATATAAAAAAATGGTGGAACATATAGTTTTGTTATTTGTATTTTAATAATTTATCATTATACATGTACAAGTATAACATATGTATAAATATATGTACAATGTACATTGTACATGTATATATTTTTCAGTGGCGGCTCGTGCTAATAAAATTTAAAAAGACATTGAAAGGTTACAAATATATAAAAATCAAATTAATGGGCCGCAACGAAAAATTTGTAACTTTCATGGTGTTTTACAAAATTATAAGAAAAGGGTCGCCAACTTACTGGGCGAGACAGTGTATTATCGGACCACAGTAGGATTTAAAAAAAATTAACACCCCGGGATAAAATGCACTACGTCACCACATTTTACTAATAACATATTCATCACCCGATACAATATAACATAAAACCTATAAAAATATATATATAACATGACAGGTGGTATTGGAACACGCCTGCCATGTCGAGGGACCTAAATAAAAATAAGGGCACCTATACAAGAAAAAACTATAAAAAAAATACAAAAAAATTCGCCACACGTGCTTATGGCACGGCGCACAAAACAAAAAATAATAATCTGGCTCAAAACATTATATAATAAACGATACATTACCAGCCCCGAAGGGCTACAGAAAATGGAGGCAGGATTAGCCGACGCCAACCAACAAAGAATTTACATTATAAAAAAATAACGGACACTCACGAAAATATATATAAAAAATGGAAAAGTTGCAACGCACACAGCAAAAAAGACCGCTATGGACGAAAATTAGCGACGACCAGTTCCGATGATGGCTAATTTCCGACAACCCGTCCGACGTTTGACCCGGCGGTCTGTTGACGACAACACGGCTAGCCTTTGGAGTAGGGGTCAAAAAAAAACTTAATGCCCAGTGCCGGAAATTACTAAGAACAATTTTAATCATAAGGCGACAATGTATGCGGTGAGCAGTGCAAATGACGTTCAAGATAGGAAAGGAGCGGGGTGAATGTACACACAAATGCCGTCCATTAACCGATCTGAAGTAGTACACAGCTGACTATCTCGCACGCGCATAAACAAATCACAATACCTTATCATGATAATTTTACTGACAAACGCCGCCGCAGTCCGCATTCGGCTCAACACAAATATATATATATATACAAATAGACAAAAAAAATAACTAGATACTTTTGTCACGTTACAACATTTAATTGCAATTTTATTTTTTAGTAATCATTATATATATATTGTTTTTTTTTTATGGATAAATGAAGGATTTTAATGTTTTCTAATGTATTACCTTCTGATTTTTAAATTTGCAATTTTTTAGGAGATTTCTCCTTTTACGGTGAACGAGAAAAATTTTTTCTCAAATTTTTGAGGATAATGTTTTGACAAGATACGATTTGTGAACTTTTGATGTATCGTTGAAAGAAATCGGTTCGGTGAGAGCTGAGAAAAATAATGACAGACACAAAAAAAAAATAAATAGTAAAAAAAACACAGCATAGTAAAATTAATACCTTCTCAGCTTTGCATCGAAGCTAAAACACAATACACATATTATTATTTAAAAATTCGCAGTAGAAAATAGCAATGTAAACAATAATAATAACGATTATACAATTAGAACAACCGATAACGATAAGCAGTTAATTCTAAAAATAAATTATTAATATAGTAACATTCTGATATTTTACGGCATGGACGACGCTGCCGGTTGTCCAAACACTACTCGTGTTTACTTGCGTACCTGGTGAGGGAAACCACTTTAATGTTCGCACATGACAAATGTATTATAACTATTTTACTATTTAAAAATGTAGAATTAAAAATATACAATTAATTTTCTTCTTTATATGGTTAGAGTAGCAAATAATGCATTGATTTCCATCATAAAATATTTTATGATGGAAATCAATGCATTTTTTATTTTAGAAACAGGGGACTCGTGGTTGGTGTAAGCCACCAATAACTGTTCCTAAGACAATTTTAAAAATCTTAAGACACCAGATTACGATTAGACATAACCAGACTCATGGATCGTGTACCAAGACTGTAAGTAGTTTATACATATATATATATATTCGTGTAATAATTAGCGGTGGTTTCAGAATGTTAAAAATGATTACAGACAATAAGCTGTATGATTCAGCCCATGCCCTATAGAGGCTTTCGGTAGTAAAACGGAATAGACCCTATGACCGACCTAGACTCATTGTCGGACACCGGTAATACGAGGTGTGTATATGAAGTAGACGTATGGTATCCAGAAGAGCTGTATAACAAGCACAACAACTTTCCGTTTTTGCCTTGTAAAAACGTTCTGACGGGTTCCAAAGAGACCAAATTTTAATATCCAAACAGCGATACGTGGTACATTATGTTAACTTGAAACAGGCGTTCGCACATGGACTGCAGGTCGATAAAGTAAGTTCTTATGATAATCTTAAGCTATTAGAGATAATATTAATATTATTCACAGGTGCACCGTGTTTTGGAATATCAACAATGTGCTTCGTTGTTGTGTTTAAATACTTTTGACTTCCTTTTTTCAGCGTTTTTTGTCAAAAACGACGGATTTTGACAGTTTCATTAGACCATTGGGCATTTATTATTCAGATTCTGATACACTTTCATATTTATAATGTTGGATTAATGTATGTTACAAGTAGTTAAGTGATATTTAGTTAAACCTAAAAATAATGAAATCAAAAACTGAAATTTCTTACTTTCAAAATTAGGGATTTTCCGGTACCCCACTTAAAATTTAGGTCAATAAACTTTGTAAAAGTTTTAGTGTCATTGGATTGGATTAGATAGAATAGGTGTGTGGATGCCTAATTGTATGTTATATGTCTCAATTACAAAGCAGTAGATTGTTTGGGTCTACGACTAGTAAGCAAATCTTAAATATTAGTTACATAATTTTAATACTTAATTTTATAAAAAAATATTGTTCTATATAAGTTGTAAAGCTAATATTATTTATCTCTTGAACAGAGATGTCTTAAAGTATTTTTTTCACGTTGGCAAAATNGAGATGTCTTAAAGTATTTTTTTCACGTTGGCAAAATGATAAATTTTATAGATGATATTATTTATTGGAAATTATTTAGATTTAAATTTCAATTCCAATTATCGATTTTACAAATTTGCAATTTTAGTATCGATAAAATAAATTGATTAATGAATTTCCGATTTATATTTTAGACTTACGTGGTTACTTTTAAGAACAAATATTTTTTGTTTTGTTGTTATGAATTACTTGTATTAAAATTTTATTTTGGATGATATTTAATAATATTATATACTCTCTGTGAATAGGGGATAAGAATACTTCCACGGCTCCTTTGCCAGTCGCAAAAAGCGCTAATGAGGTTGCATTAGGTCGATAGCCGGCGTAAAATTTTTGTCAAAAAGTATGAGGAGTACTAAACAAAACTTAGGCGGATCTTGGATGTACGCGACCTTTTAAATAAAATCTTATGAGAAGGAAATATCTCAAATAAATGGAGTAATAGTATAATTGAGCCGATATTTAAAGGTAAAAGAGACATACAGAAGTGTGGACATTATAGAGACATAAAGCTTATGTGTCATAGTATGAAAATTTGGGAAAAAGTAATAGATAAGAGAATAAAAAATGAGACATCGGTATCTAAAAACAAGTTTGGATTTATGCCTGGTAAGTCAATAATGGAGCCTGACACGGCCTGTAATAGCGCACTATTCATTTAATGTGAATTAGCACATTATCCGGTCGTGATTATTAGCTGTCCATCGTCACACTCGTTAGTGTTGACGATAATATTATGTTTGTCTTGTCCGGCGGTCGGTAGATAGAATGAGTCAGGAGGATTTAGCACCGCGAGACTCATTGAAAACTATGTAAACTAGTTCACCTGTGACTGACATTCACTGCGCGTGCCGCCGACAGGGTGAATAGTGTGGGAGGAGTAACAGAAGTTTTTAGGATAAAAGTAGCAGTGCACCAAGATTCT